AATCAATGTTGAAGAATATATTAAGGAATCAATGCAGGAAAATATGTCAATGGGAAAATAAATGGACGACACATTTTATGGGTCTGACATGGTCATATTTGCTGCGTTTTTGCACCACGCTTTTTTCTTTCAAGCTAAAGCAATATTCAGCTAGTCAATTGCATACTATTTAAGGACTGTCTGTACTTAGCAACTCTCGATAGGGTATTCGAATCAGCCTGACCTACAAATGTCGTCGGCTGCAATCATGAACTAGCTTTTAGAGTGATTATCTTCTGAGCCAGTTAGGCGACTTCCTGGCAACGGTGTATTCCACTACGACAGTACCATGACTGGCTTAAATGCTTTACCCGTTCAATAAATGAACAAAGTTATTTGAACGGCTCAACTTCACCAAGTTTCACCTACCTCAAAGATATCTCCCAGATTCTTCTCAACCCTTTGTATGAGATAAAAATACACGCTGTAATTACATTTTTAGAGGGACACAGAATTCTAAAGAATTCGATGCGCAGTTATTAGATGCTATTTCTTCTCGAATTTAAGTGGACGTAGAACATAAACCCGGAAGACACTATTTATACTAATCGTTTTGTAAAATGCTTATTAAAACTTTAGTACCGGTTTCGTCGATGAGTCTCATTTGAAGAATACCGAAAAGTTGCTGTTTCATTATCATATATTCAAATATTTTTACTTGCATTGGTTTTTAAATGTTCAACTATAACTTTCTATGAACATATTTTTCGTTTCGCATTCGCACCAAGTTTGGTTGGCATGTACTTGCCGTGCAGGACGTGTTTGGTCAGCTCATAGGAGGCTTACGCTGCTTTTGTAGTTGCTGACGTATTTGTCAATATTCGTTGCTATCATGGTTGGCACAGAGAAGTTTATTCTTGGAGTGTGGAGTCGAGAACCTCAAACAAGTATATATACAACAGTTAATAAAAGAGTTTGCGAAACATTACGTTGGTGAAGTCGCCATGCACCACTGGTTAGGAAAGAAGCACAGTTCATTGATTTACTTTCTCAGTATATGGCAGCAACGTTCCTCAGTCAAACTTGCTGATATGAAGCTCCATTGCGGTTCACCTTTCCTAATTTTTGCGATCTACTGACGTGAAGAATTTCTGCTTTTAACTATTTCTGAATGTCATAAAGTTTGATACGTCTGAACCTCTTTTGATTGAGTAGCAGTTGTCGTCACTCTTTGCTTATGGAGTGTAAAGCAGGATGAAATGGTTTCATCTTCGTTCTTTAAGTATTAATACAGACCGCTGCTTAATACCTTTCTGTTTTCGATACATCTGGTCCATTTTCTGCTGACTGAAATCATAATCTGCCATGGATGCGGAGGTAAACTACTTCGGCAGAATCATGTACCTGCACTTGGTTACCCATATTGCTTGACGCAGAGGATAATTATTTGAGTTTCTAAATGACCGGAATTCCGTTAAAGGCAATAAAGTATTACAATGAGTCATCACCGAAAAAGTTTCGACGGGAAGAGAATAAAGGAAGAATAAAAGGGTAAATGAAAAAGAATACGGAAAGAATAAGTAAAGAAAGGGTTGGGAGAGTAAAGAAAGCGATTCAAGCAAAAACAAAGGTACCGCTATGTGATGTCGTTGTTAATTTAGCCTCAGAGAAGTCCGTAATCGCTGGAAAAGAGTCACATTGTACGAGAATTGGAGAAACTGTGGTGTGGTAGCTTTGGTGGAACCAACTTCAGAGGATTCAGACACCTGCGGATAAACGTCCCATTAATATGGGATCTTCCTGATGGAAGCAAATATGGAAACGATGAAGGATTGTGAGAATAACTACTGTGACGAGGAGGCTGCGAAAGTTTGTAAGCCAACAGTACATACGCTCTTAAGAAAATCGT